ATTATTGCAGTCCGTGATCAGCATGCAGCCCTGTGGCATACCGCAATGACGCATGTTGTAACTCCGGCGTAAATCGGTCTTTAGCTACAAGGAAACATGTCATAAAAATAATATTATTTACGATTAAATCAGAATTTAAAGTTCAAACCTCAGATGAAGTTTTTTTAATTCATCTGAGAACCTTTTTTTACTTCATCTGAGGTTAAAACATTACATATTACAAAAATAAATTTATAATTAGCCATGAGTTTCAACTAGAGCCTGTTTTAATTAATTAAGTGCCCTGGAAAATGAATGAAATGTAAAGTATGGACTTTGGCAGCAACTCGACACTACCAATAAACCACATCTATACATATAATAAAACTGTAAATAGCAGATGTCTGTACATTTTATATTTTTGTAATAAAAGTGATTGAGGGGTACTAAAAATAAGTAATTAAATACATTTCTACCATTTTTAGAATTTTCTGTCTGTCTGTCTGTCTGTCTGTCTGTCTGTTTGTTTGTTAACGTATCACGTTTAAAGTACTAATTTATATCATAAGAATCGTTAAGGAAATTCTAAAGTGTACCTTCGGGTTACATTTAGTCTTTATTTCATTAAAATCGGTTCATTCCATCAAAAGTTATCTATACATATAATAAAACTGTAAATAGCAGATGTCTGTACATTTTATATTTTTGTAATAAAAGTGATTGAGGGGTACTAAAAATAAGTAATTAAATACATTTCTACCATTTTTAGAATTTTCTGTCTGTCTGTCTGTCTGTCTGTTTGTTTGTTAACGTATCACGTTTAAAGTACTAATTTATATCATAAGAATCGTTAAGGAAATTCTAAAGTGTACCTTCGGGTTACATTTAGTCTTTATTTCATTAAAATCGGTTCATTCCATCAAAAGTTATGATAAATATTCTGAAGTATGGCTACAAAGTATAGGTACGAATTTGTTCAATGGTGGCGTTTGTTGAGTCATCAAGTACATTTTAAACTAATATCATATTATAAATCATAACATAATTAAATGATGTAAAATAATGTTCTATAATGATGAAATTATATCTAAAACGCAGTAAACAAAAGTATTGCATAAAGAACGTAATAAATATATTAAAAAATATATTAACCTTATTATGTAAATCTAAAGTACAAAAGTTAACCCATTTCATCGATAGATGGTGGTGTTGCACAAATGTCATGCAAGAAGGCAGGTTGTGGTTTTTTTTCTGTAAATGACTTTTCATATTTGCTGTTAATCTTTAAATTACTCGCTGCCCTACTGTGTATTGACAATATCATTTATTCTTTACCGCCGAGTACTCTACATGGTAAATAAAATTTTAAAAGAGCTATTAACAATTTCGTTGGTTTCGGCGAGGATCAAACTTTATTTCTTACTTACGATGTAGGCCTGATTTATAAGTTCTTTTAAGTTTTTTTATTGTATCAATCGCGTCAATTAATCTCTTTTATTTTTAGAATTGATTTTAACAGCGCCATCTATCCTTATATCTCTATACATGCGGTAATCACATGCTGTGTCTGATTCTGTACATTGTATAGTATATTAATTTGTGACTAAAATCATTATGGAGACTGAAACTCATTAAATAAGTACATTTTTATAATTTTTAGAATTGTCTGTCTGTCTGTTTGTTTATGAACGCATCACGTCTCACGTAAACATCTTTTTTTCAAAGAAATTGTTTAGAAAATAATAAAGCGTATCATCCAGTTCAAAGATTAACTTTATTTATTAAAATTGGTTAATTCTATCGAAAGTTTTGATTATTATTTTGAAATGTAGGTTCGATTTGTTTAAAGGCGCCATAAAACCTCAGAAATAGTAATAAAATGATTCCTTTTTATAAAAAAACGTTTTATTATAGTATATTTATACTTTAAACACAGTAAACAAAAAATATGTTTTCCTTAAATTAAAAAAGGATGTCTTCCACGAAGAACGTAATAGATGGCGTTGTACGTTAACGAGTCCATTCAAGCTGAAAGAGCCGTGTAATGTGTAAGCTAACAGCACAAACATCATCAAAAACAGATATCAGAAAAAAGATACGTACGCCCAAGCTAAACGTAGCAAAATTGCATCAAAAACAATATGTCATGATGTTGTTTTATACCAAGAATCCACATTATATCAAATAACTTTCCTTTCAGTTCTAAGCGTGTTCTGTTCCCACTTCCCATTCCCAGTCAGCGTGTGTTATGCGATGACCGATGACCGTAAATAAAGCGCAAGGTCAAACTTTACGCGTTGCAGGAGTAGACCTCAGTACTGACTGTTTTGCACATGGCCAACTCTATGTTGCTTTTTCCCGCGTTAGTAGCTCCCGTAACATTTTTCTGTACGCCCCGGCTAAGTCTACTTCTAACGTCGTTTACACAGAAGTTCTATCACAAACGACTCAGAACTTTGAGCATAACGATTTATTTTGGTGCCACTTATTCATACAGTAATGATATAAATCTTTTAATATTCTCTTACCTAAACGTCAAATTCTTTAAGTAAAACCTATATACGCGAGCTACGCCGCGGGCACAGCTAGTTTTGTAATAAGACCGAAACAGTTTATTTTTTATTTATAAACGCGGTTTATAATAAACCGTTTAGAATATAAAATTAAGTTCCGAAATGAAGCCGTCCTGAAACTACCAGGTTAATTCACAACCTCGTTATTAATTAGCGATAACCTGCTTATCCTTCGTCGTTTATTTGTATAAAACTGTGATAGTTTCACAATACGGGTCAAGTTGTGTTAATTGTAGTAATATTGATAAATGTACACTACTTGCCCTATGGAAGCGTGTCTTAAACACTTTAATTACATATTATGACATCTGCAGCGTGAATCACTTAGTATCTTCTCTGAGGTTTTTTATGCGAACCGGTGTAGATAGATACTGACGTTCATAAGAGCTGTAAACAAATCTAACTAAACACAAGACTTAATATTATGTTGTTTTGATTACAAATATGTGTCCTAATAGTTTAAGTGCCATAACAACGTCGCGAGTCCTAGATTCGAATGCCAGGTTCGAGACAAAGCTAATCTGCGAAAACAATTGTCATTTGGGGTCGGGACAAAGATAAATGACCATTCACTTTAAAAAAAATCTCGCTAGGATTCTTACAGGTTCTTCCCAGGTCAAATCTGTTTTTATTCAATTTTTATTCAAACCTGTGGTAGGAACAAAAGGTGACTCAATAAATTCTTTTTTGTAATCTATGTTGAATAAAAATTATTATATATTTGTAAGAAAAATACTTCTGTTTAGCGTAATCTATGATTTCCGGTGTAATATTACCTACTAAATGTACATGTAATATAAATTATCTATGATTAGTTGTTTATTGAATGATTTCCTGAACAGTAGTCAATTATCACTTACGGTGTTTATATTCTGAATCAGTTACATTGACTCATAAAGGTACCGCAATTCAATTTGACTGAGTTTTGTAAATTTGGTCTATTGCTTTTTCACTCATCTCGGGCACAGCGCGACAACAATAGATCGTTAAAAACGTATTCTTCAAATTTCTTGTAACCCTACGAAATTTTCAATTCGATTTATGTAGAAAATGGTTAAATGATTTGGTCAACGCATGAATTTGATTTTTTGTAACAATAACAGTACCCTAATGAATAAATCAAATGATGAAATTTGTAGATATATTGTGGTTGGCAACACGAATGGGTCGGCTAGATCGAGGAATCACGCTCTCACAGAATACCAGCGAAAAATAGCAGCTTAAGACTGTTGTGTTTCGTATGGTGTGTAGAGAATCGTAGACGCTTTCGAAACGTGACAACACGTTTCTCAGAAGTGTCAACGCGTTTGCATTTTGATTCTTATTCGAGGATAGATGTGGGTCACAGCATCCACTTACCATCAGGTGGACTATGCACATTTGCCAACTTTATTCCATTAAAAAGCATTCAAATATTACATCGCTAACGCCGCAAAGGGGCGTACCTCAATTTTTTTTAAAATTACAGGAGAGCAAGGATACATTTATTATTCCCCGATTACTAGCTTTTTTCATCAGGAAATTAATCTTATTTGTAGTTTTCCATTAAGTCTAATATATTTAATTTTCTGATGAAAAAAAGCTAGTAATCAGGGAGTAATAAATGTTTTCTTGCTCTCCTGTAATTTTTTGAAAAATTGAGGTTCGCCCCTTTGCGGCGTTAGCGACGAATAGTTTCGAGATTTCGTTCTAGCCATACAAAACCCAAATTGAAACGATTGAAAGTTTCTTGTTAAAATAGTCTAATTAAGGTCTTAAATCACGTATGTGTAGTAACCAAATTCCTATGCAATATGCGAATAAATTTGCTAACAATCATAAAAACCTTTTGTCCGACAGGGTTCACATTCAAAACAATTACCCTTAAGTCGAAAGGCGAAGCAAGGGGAGATGAAATCACTGTCGATTCATAAGCTTTGAATGCCACTGCGCTTTGACAATAGATTCTGCAACGGTTTTTAACATCTGCTTTAAGTTGTAACGTATTTATAACAATACGAGTAGTACAACATACATTGATCTTTTAACTTTTTCTGGTTTCTCTGGAAAGTGCTTTAAATCAATTCTTTTTTAAAAAAACACATTTAAAAAAAAATGATTTACCGACAGTGTACGTACACTGTTAACTGTACAATTTGTTGTGAAACCCTTCTAATTTTGGCTGATAAACTTCGATTGTTTTGTTTCTTTGTATTATAATATCTATAATGCATGTTTTTATCTCCAACCGTATAACTTGTAAATTCTCATGACATGCTACATAAAAACAAAACTAAAATCCAGATAATTTGCCCTCAAGGTAAAATACAATCGTCACGCTTCACCCGCCGCACCAAAAGTCCGCGTAATGACATAAAGCATTACGTAATTTGGATGCCGATCATTAACACCGTCGCCAAGACATTCCCACGAATAATTTACCTATAAACGTATTGTTTCTTTTGCAGGATGTCTAATTTTCAACGTACACGTAGCAAAGTCTGGTGGGGTGATTCACCGCCCGATATCGGCAGTCCAGTGGCACCGCAGGCCGCGTGGAACCAAAACAATAGAAGGGACGAACAAGATTGGGAGCCTCAACTCCCACATTGGATTGCTAACCAACCGGAACAAAGGAACAATAGCGTTGATAATATTGCAGAACCGAATAATGTGCAAATTAATCATTGGCCACTTCGCCACGGAAGCCCCGGTAGTCACAAAAGTCAAGATTCTGGCTTCTCAGATTCTGACAGCTCCCCCCCAAACTCACAGTACTACCCAGCGGCTGATAACAGTGAATCTAAAGATAAATCATCAAACAGCAGTGACTCGAATAACAATGAAAATATAACCGTAAAACAGGCGATTGACTTTCAAAACACTGTGCATAGCAGAGATGTTGTTGACAATTCCAGACTGTCAAACAATGACAGCAATGTAACTCCAACCCCAAAGCCGCGATTACGGAGTAGCAGCGTCATACAAACTCCGTACGACTTACAGAAATATTACGAAGTTCACCACGACGAAGAACATATGGAGTTATTAAGAGATAATGATAATAATAATTCAAAATATCCATCTTCAACAAATGTCAATAGTAATTCTTATGAAAAAGAAAATTCAAATAAAGTCATCGAGAAAACTATATCACAAAAATTAAATACAGTAGAAAACAAGCAAATAAACGAAGAAACTGTAACTTACAAACGTACAATCCAAAAAGATACCAAAGAAGTAAATGTTATAAGTCCTTCCAAAAAATATCCTATTAAGAAATCTTTTGTGTCTAGTACAGAAAGTGATAGTACGAAAATTAGTAAAGTGGCTAAGGTGAAAGACTTGGAGACGAGTAAGAATACTAAATCAGATGAAAGTTTGGAATATATCAAGTTATCTCATGATAACGAAATTGCAGTAAACAATCAACCGAGAATGCGTACACCTATCTCCAACGTTTCTTATGTGCCCACTGAAAGAATTTCAATATCAAAATCAGAATACAAAAGAAGTATGTCAAACGAAGACTATAATCCCATAAGCACAACGCCTAAATTTCAAAGAAATAGACTAAACCAATCCTTAAATTTTGAAGCTCAGAGACTAGATCAACAAATATTGGATATTCAAGAAGGTTATCATTCATTGGGATACATAGATGAAAATGATCCACTTAAAAATGAAAAGCAGTATCAAATGGAACAAGTTCACAGACCTGCAAAAGCTTTGTTAGGTAAAAACATCATGGACAGTCTCCACTTAAAACCAAATAAAAAAGTTGGTCCAAAAGCTAAACAGAGGATGGGTAAAACGGACAAAACAAAAGAATTATTTAGGATTCTTCCTGCTAAAAAAGAGAAGCCAGGTATCGTTGATACACACGCTGGTGGGGTTTTAGATGGAAGTAGAGTTCCATCTCTTGGTCTACCGAGGTCTGAAGAACAGAATTCCTGGGTGGTTGTCGGTTACCCGGAAAAAGAAGTTCTTATACCACACTATAATGAAAGATTAGTCACTACTGAAAGTGACATCAATTTAAAGTCCAAAGATAACGTTGATGAGGAAATTAATTATGTAAAAACACGAAGAGTCACTCCGCCTCCACAGTTTAGGGACAAACAAAAAATACCTTACGAAACCGATTCAAAATCTGATAAAGATTTAACACACGACTCCAAACGAGAGAAGTTAAAAGATGATATAAATTTCACGGATGTGCAATTAAATTTAGCATGTACCTCGACACCAAAAATGTTAACCCCTCACGAGTTTATGACTAGTCCCCAAGCTTCAAAGAGTAATAAGAAAGGTTCTTTGAGAGTGAATCTATTAAGCGACTTCAATGGCGGGTAAGAATAATTGTTCTTAACATTGAATATTAAATTGTTGTTTGATTAAATAATTAGCAAATAATAAACTCCAAAAATATTTACTAAAGTAATAAAATAATGTTATTGCCTACTTAAAATATTATTTTATAAAAATATAAATCAAGTAACATCTTTTTAATAACACAATATGGTTGAAAACTTTTATTGATTTTATATTATTCCTTGTCATCATCTGATTTTTACAGATTGGTTCTAAACAATCAAAACGAAATATTATACAGAGAAAGAAGTATAGATCAGACAACATTAGAGAGGTTATGCGATAGGAAACCGGAACCAGTTCAGTACTGGCTCTGTGATCTAATTGGTTCCAATGAAAACGAATGTATGACTACTCTGCAGAGCAAGCCTATCGGTACTGAGATGAAAGCTTTAGTATCTGCCAGTTCTGCGACTATCACAGGGAATATTAAGAAGGTGCAAACGCACGGACAAATTATAGTGCATCAATATAGCGACGTTATAAGGTATGTTTCGATTTTGTTACGATGTATTTTAGAGACTTCAGTAGTTATCATCGTTTTAATTACAGTCCAACATAAGTTCACCATTGTACATAGGTCCCGTCACACCTACCTACCACAAAGAACGGTCCTCAACCAGCTGCATGCATCGATTCCTGCAGATCGTAATTCCATGAAGTTAGCGCTGCCCTACAATGCGCTTGCTTTCGGCTACTATTTGAGGTCCTTAGCTTATGTTCTTATCCATCGATTGTCGGTCCAGCTAGCTATATAGCTCCCGATTGCCACTTCAGTTTACTGATCCGTTGGGCTATGAGGCTATGACAGTTACTCTGCCTCTGCTACGGGTTATATTTGCAACGGATCACGCAGAGAACAAAGAGATGCATTCAAAATGTGTTATTATGTAAATGTGTCAACCAGAAATTATTTTACATATTTTATTAATTGTTTTTTTTTTTAATTTCTATAATATCCATAATATACACAAATGTTTTGAATACACAGCCAATTTTGTCTCGGTATTTATATGTTTTTGATTAACATTTTCGTATAACAACCGTATAGTGGCGTTGTAAGAATATCCACTACCCAATATTGTCTTTCTAATAACAATTTGTTATCCCCACGATGCATTCTATAGTAGAAGTCGTGTTCAGACTTAGATTTTTGATCGACTGTATATCTGTATATATGTATATATGATCAATGTATAATTATTACAAATTATCTATAATTTTAGACAAATGGAATCAAATACAACGAGTGAAGAACAAATATGTCTTCTAGTGGCGAATATCAACGAATTCGTTCTAGCCCATAGTATAACCCTAAACACAAAACCACCTGGTGAAACGCCAGAAAGATGGGACAAGATCAAAGTGTCTCTGCAGTTGTACCTGCAAAAACTGATCGATATAGGAGAGGATGTGAAGCTGGAATTAAACGAGAGCAACCCGGAATGGAACCTAGTTCAGAAACATCTAGACACGCTAATAGGGATCTTCCTGGAGACAACGAAAGCTGTTCTGGTGCAACAAATGAAGGTATAGTATTTAATGTGTAGTTTTATTTAAACAATTTTCTGTTTCCTCTTTGAAAAGACTTGTTAGATTATGAATTAAAATGCAGATCCATCGTCCAGTAAATAGGATTTCATAAATAATAAATAAATGAGGTAAAAAGGGTAACCATATGAAAGACGGCAGCTTTATGGTTTTTTTCCTGTATCGTGCAGACAGTTTACATACATAAATTGCATAGGGACAAACGTCCAGTCCCGGAACAATTACTTGTAGACCATAAAAATACTTGTTCCGTAAGGGATTCGCACCCGCGCTGATAACCAATGATATTATAAATAAAAAGGTGTTTTATTTATAATATCATTGGCTATAAGTCATTGCTAAGCAACTGCGCTACGGAGCCGTCGGCCGTCGTCTGTGCGTGTCCCAGTCGAGCTGACCCATTTGAGCTGCAGCGACAATACTGTTGCAGCTATTTGGCGGGTGGTATCTGCCTAGACGGTGACCTAGGCAGAAAAGTCGTCTTATCACGTAGTAGCCCTGTTTTCGTCACTTACAATACGAATCAGACATATACTGGTGTTATTCACGTACTAGCCATGTTTTTGTCACTTACCATACTATTTAACGCTGGTATTATGTGTTCTCCGATCGAGCTAACCCATTGAAACTGCAGCGTGGTTATACCATGATATAGGTATATCATCATCATTATACCCAGTGGCAATGTGACTCCATGAGACTGCAATTTATTGAACTGCTCAATTTTCTACTGTCTAAGATTAAATATCTTAAGTTACCTGTTATCTTACTGTAAGCACAAGGCATTAAGCTGCATACGAATGCTACTAGATTATTACTAGAAACACGCAAAACTATAAAATTACACGACGTTAGTAGTTAACACCTTGGGCTATAGTGCAAATATTTCCACTTTCTAAATCCGGTACTGGATGCGCACAAACAGTCACACATGCTTCCAACATTTGCATAATATTAAAAGTAGCATGTATGATATACAACAAACATATAAATGGGGTAATGCGCTGCCTGCCATGTGACCGGATTTATTGTCTGTCATATATAAACGATAACACAGCTTTCTTAATTTCGTAGGAAATGAACTCGAATCTATTATTAAATGGTGTCGTTTGTGTGTTAGTTACTAGTGTTAATGAGTTAAATGATTATTAATTTATATTTAGATGTATTGTGATTTTCGCGACCGATTTATCATAAGGATAACTTCTGACTGGATAGAGCAAGTAAGTGACTCTGTAACAAGCGTTATCGGATTAATTTTCGACTAAAGCGGGGGTTTTGCGTGAACAGCGTGATTTGCCTACAGCAGTTCGCTTGGTATCGCCTGCAGGTCATGCTTTAGTCTTTAAAAACATTGACGTCTGGCAACATCTAGCACTCTTATCTCCTGGGCAGTTGTAGCCTACGATTAAATTTTAGAATGATCGTCGTAATCAAAATTGGCTAGAATAATTCATAAATTTGTTTTATTTTTTATTTTGAAAGAAGTTTCACTTTCTTCCAGACTCTAGTATCTATAATCGAAGAACCACCATCCGACATGATCCTTAAAAGCACTCTCACCTCTATCGGTCATTTGGCGATGCTGAGTGAAAACACGGAGAGCTCTTTGCACGAGAAATGCGTCGACATCATGAGGTGTATTACGGAATTGCCTTTTGTCGACTGCGGAATACCACGGGCCCTTTTAACGGCCATCATCGAGAGCAACAAGAGTTCTATCAAGGCGTTATCGTTGCGTGCACTCGCGACTGTTTGTGTCACCGCGGACGCGGTCAAACAATTCGAAGAGGTATGTTTGGTTTCATTTTTTTTCTTTATTGCCTGTACATTTTTATATAAGACGAGCTTGCGACTCACCTGATGGTAAGTGACTCATCATCATCATTCATCATTACAGCCCTTCACAAGTCCACTGCTGAACATAGGCCTCCCCCAAAGAATGCCACAAAGCACGGTCCTGAGCCACCTGCATCCATCGACTTCCTGCATGTCTTACCAGGTCGTCACTCCATCTCGTGGGGGGACGCCCTACACTTCGTCTACCGGTACGAGGCTGCCACTCGAGAACCTTTCTTCCCCATCGGTTGTCGGTTCTTCGAGCTATATGGCCGGCCCACTGCCACTTCAGCTTACTAATCCGTTGGGCTATGTCGGTTACTCTGGTTCTACTGCGGATATCCTCATTCCTAAGTTTATCACGCAGAGAAACTCCGAGCATAGCCCTCTCCATAGCTCGCTGAGCGACCTTGAGCTTTCTCATACGGCCAGCAGTGAAGGACCACGTCTCAGTTCCGTAAGTCATCACTGGCAACACGCACTGGTTGTACAATTTCGTTTTAAGGTTTTGAGGTATGTCTGACGAGAAGATGTGTCGTAGCTTCCCGAACGCTGCCCAGCCGAGTTGAATCCGTCGATTGACCTCTCGGTCGAAGTTGGACTTACCTAGTCGGACTATTTGTCCCAGGTAAACATACTCGTCAACAACTTCGAGCTTAGTGCTCCCAACAACTACCGGCATAGGTGGACATTAAACATGATCTTTGTTTTGTCCATGTTCATCTTAAGACCTATCCGTTGGGAAACACTATTGAGGTCATTGAGCATAGTGCTTAGGTCCTCCAGCGATTCTGCCATAAGGACTATAAAAGACGTCGGCAAATCGAAGGTGAGTGATGTACTCGCCATTGATGTTGATACCGTATCCTTTCCAGTCCAGAAGCTTGAAAACGTCTTCCAATGCAGCGGTGAAGAGTTTCGGGGATATGACGTCACCCTGTCTTACACCTCTCTGCAATTGGATAGGTTTCGTACTCTGTTTCTGTACTCGGATAGCCATCGTAGCCCTACTGTACAAGCACTTCAACACTTCGATATACCGACAGTCAGCTTGGCACCGCTGAAGGGACTGCAGCACCGCCCAAATTTCGACGGAATCAAAGGCTTTCTCATAGTCCACATACGCCAGACATAGTGGCAAGTTGTACTCTTCGGACTTCTGTACAATTTGCCGAAGGGTATGTATGTGGTCTATGGTTTAGCACTTAGCCCTTTCGGAAACCGGCTTGTTCGGGAGGCTGGAAGTCGTCAAGTCTGCGCGCGAGACGATTCGTAATGACTCTCGAAAACAGCACGTAGACGCGGCTCAGAAGGGAAATCGGTCTGTAGTTCTTCAAGAGAGCGTTGTCACCTTTCTTGAAGAACAAGACCACCGCACTTCTGCTCCACGCCTCCGGTGTAATGCCACCATGGAGGACGGAATTAAATAGCTTCTGAAGGACTTCAAGTACCGGTCTTCCACCCGCTTTCAGAAGCTCCGCTGTAATTCCATCCTTACGTGGTAGAGCCATGCTGCACATCCATTCTTACGTGGTAGAGCCATGCTGCAGCTATATTATGGTTGTAGTACGAATGGGTCGGCTCGAACGGGGAAGGACCACGCTCTCACAGAAAACCAGCGTAAAATAGCAGCTTAACGCTGCTGTGTTTCGTATGGTGAGTGTAGAGAACCGGAGACCCTTTTTACTGGCAAAGAGGCATTCCATCTTAGTCCTCACGGGTGACAACGCATGTGCATCTTGAGTCTTTATTGAGGATAGATGTAGATGTCTATGGGTCACAGTAACCACTTACCATCAGGTGGACTGTGTGCTCGTTTGTCACCCTATCCTATAAAAAAAAAAAAAAAAAATCCTCGCCTGTGGCCTTACCGTTTTTAAGGTGCTGGAGAGCCATTCTAATCTCGCTCAGACTGACGTCCGGGATATCTTCGGAATAGTGTCGGATGAGACTCGCTCTTGGATCGTTACTCACACTTGCGTGCGGCTCCAACGATGACGTGTACAGCTGCCCATAGAACCTCTCAATCTCACTCAAAATCTCAGGTGTCCCGGAAACGATGCTGCCACACTCCGTCTTCAGCTTTGACAGTTGGCTCTTTCTGGCAGACAGATCTCTGGCAAAGACTTTGGAGCCTTGGTTCCGCTCGATCGCTTCTTCAATACGAGCTGTATTGAAGTTGCGTAAGTCCCGCCGCATGCATTTGGAGATCTGTCTGTTCAGATGCCTGTATGCTGTCAACTCTGTTGAAGAGTGTAGCTTCATCTCCCGTCTAACAGCCATGAGATTAAGAGTGTGATCGGAGAGTTTTTGTGTTCTTCTGCGGCGGGTCTTGCAGAACTTAGCTCCGACCGCATGGACAGTTTCCACGAGCTTGTCATTCATATCGTCCACTTCATTGCAGTCTTCTAGGCACTGAAAACGGTTTTGTAACTCGAGCAGAAAGGTTACGGGACTTTGGATTAGAGCAAGAGGGGGACGGAGCGTTGACTTCATTAGACGAGACCTCTCCAACTTAACGTTTAGGTTCAGTGTGCCTCTAACCATTCGGTGATCGCTACCAGTTTTCACCCTCGCGATCACGAAGACATCACTGAACAGTTGTCGTCTGGTCGTCATAATGAAGTCAATCTCATTTTTTGTCGAACCGTCGGGACTCGACCAGGTCCACTTCCTGTGGGGCCGCTTCTGGAAGAAAGAGTTCATCATAAAGAGTCCCTCTTTCTCCATGAAGTCGGCCAGCTGCTGGCCCCTTGGGTTCCGTTGCCCTATTCCAAATTTCCCTACCTTCAGCTCGCCGTTCTCTCTTGTGCCTAGTTTTGCATTGAAGTCTCCCATTAACACCGTATATTGGGTTTTGGAGGAATGCATGGCTCTAGAGATATCCTCATACATTTCCTCCACCTCCTCATCGGGGTGTGCCGAGGTTGGTGCGTAAACCTGTATGACCTTCAGCGAATACCGTTTGGTGATTCTGAGTATAAGGTACGCAACCCTCGTCGACACACTCCCGATTTTTACAACGTTGTTAACGAGAGACTTGTGGACGATAAATCCGACACCTCCTTGGGACAGATGGTCGCCCTCCCGGTGATAGAGCAAGTTGCCGGATTCGAGGATTACCGTGTCCTCCCCCTCTCTTCGGACTTCGGATAATCCTATAATATGCCAGCGCAACTTGTCTATCTCTTCTTCCAGCTCCACGATCTTCTCATCAGTCCTCAGGGTGCGTGCGTTGTACGTTGCCAGGTCGAGTCGTCTAAGGTGGCAACCGAACCTCCACCGGAGATTCTTAGCACCCCCTGCCCCGCCGTTACCATGGTCGCCACCGTAGCCAGGAATAGCGGGGCCGCCGGGGACTGGGGGCCGTCTGTTTGTTGCTTTATTCATTGGGGGGTATTTGCCATAGTTGCCACGCTTGGCGAGCGGGTTGGCAACCGCAGTTTTTTTTTATTGTAATTTTGGCTATTATCAGGAAGATGCTGCTGCCCATCTCCTGCCTGTTTCCCTTTGTCGCCTTTTACGACACCCACGGGAGGATATGGGGTAGTGGATATTCTTGACCGCCACTACACGGCATACCGGTCCCGATAAGTGACTACCGCCGCCCAAATAATAAAAAAATAACCCGCTGGCAAATGGCATGCAGGTCACCTGAAGTGACTACCACCGCCTATGAACAACTGCAACACTGGGGAAATTGCAGATGCGTTACCGGTCTTTTAAAAAAGCGTAGGCTCTTTTCTTGAAGGTCCATATCGATAGAGAAAAATCTTACATTATCCTCACCCTCGATTTTTTGTAATAGGTTCTTTACGTATACGTCTGAAAGAAATCGCTTTTAGAGGGATGAGAAATTAAATAAAAATAAATAAAATTAAGTGTATTTATTTTGCGACGTATGACACTAAAATTTTATTTGTTTTTTTTTAATTCACAAGTTCACAATCGTTTCAAAAAGAGATTCCCTTTCCAAAAAATAAACGGAGAAAGAAACTGCCACATGTATCCTCTTTTGCATGCCTTAAGCGCAAAGCGCGTAGGTATGTTTTACTAGAGCCTAAAATCAAGATTCCAACGTTTTGTCGCATAAAATCGTATCTAAAAATTATATTGAACATATAAATCATATAAAAAGCACATTATCAGAAAGATAAATGATTGTTGAACTTATTAATATATTTTTTTAATCGATTAATTTCTATTTTTACATAAAAAAGTGGTTTAGTGCCTTATTTAGTGCTTAGTTTAACTGAATCTTTTTTTCTTTTTTTTTTTTAAATAAACGTTACCCCACACGGATTTTCTCCTGTATCGTGCAGGCAGTTTACAAACACAAATTGCACAAGGACAAACATCCAGACCCGGAACAGTTACTTGTAGGCCATAAAAATACTATTTATGGCCTACAAGTAGTTACGCAAAACTAAAAATAATAATTTGAACTTTTTAAGTATTCTAAGTTAGCGTTATTTTGTAGGGAGGAGGAATAGAAATCTTGTCAGATATTTTGTCAGACAGATCGAACCCCGAACCTCAGATGCGGGAAGCTATCACAGTTCTCACACAAATAACGGCGCCATGGCTACGAGGACATTATGATCTTACACAACTACATTTATATCTAAACTCGATCGTCGAAAATATTACTGGTGAGTTTTTATATAACAATACACTAAAAATGTTATTTATAAGTACAAAAAACAAACTTTTCTTTACATTTATCCAAGGCTATAAATTTAGTTAGAAACGTTATGGTTCTGAGCGACATCTGTTGACAACTTTTAACTAACGCTTAAAGCGTCAATAACCGCCATCTATGATTTATTTGTTTTCATTGGATTTTGATATAATTTTATTTATATATTTAATTATTTTTGTATCTATTCATGTTTTTAAGCAAACGTTGTAAATTATTGTTTCTATCAGGCCGCAAACTGGAACTGCTATGTTATGAACATTGTTTTTTTAGACACTAAGAAATTTAAATTTTGCTTTCCCTCACACTGGTCTTAAGTACATGGTAAGATAGCACGGCGACATCTGTTGGAGAATAGCCGACATTGTCATTTTGGCTTTTCCGATATTTATATTTCATAGATTATATATATCCTGTACATAGGATTATTTTGCAATAACCGGCCAAATTTGCAGAGAAGGTTCAGAATAAGTAGTATAGACAGATGATTAAGAAAATTTAATTAAAAAGTCTCAAACATTCTGCCCTTTCTATCTTTTAAATTCAAAATGCGTGGTAATGCATTATTTTAACTGATTTTACTGCGCACGCAATTCGTAAGGGTCGATCGGCAGGCAAAAACGTTGTTGCCCATAAATCACATTCAATTTGGGATAATTTCAAATAAAAGTAGAAGCCTTACTTAGTCGTATTTTCAAAAACTGTATTAACGGTATATCATTATTTATATATTTGAACTAATGTTTAAAATTTGGCTAATTTTTGAGAAATAACCGTTGTATTATTATTATTTCTCTTACGCTATTACTTCCATCTTTCTAAACACATCATATAATTTGCATTATGTCCAGGCGGTGTAGCAACCGCAGTACTAGACGTCTCGCACCTTAGCTCTGTCAGTTGTAGATCTTGGTATTTTAAAAGTAGAATTATTACAAAATGAGAAATACTGGAAAAATGTCAAAGCTTCCGACAGATGGCAGTGTTATCAACTCATTCGATGGTAGTACCGAACAAGGGGCAGCGTCAAGATGGAAGGCAATTGTACTTCGGAAGCCAATCCGCCTGCTAAGCAACTTGATAATGTTAAATCCTCCCAACCACGGGAGAGACCCATGTCCAGCAATCAACTTTTTGGGGCTGAAAAATATATAGGAGATGATATCTATTGGAGGCCATGAGATACTTCACCTCCGGTGTCGGATTTCTGTCCCAGAGAATTAGGGAATAGAGAGTGCGCCTGTGCTTGCGCACACACGCGTGCACTGTAATCCTGTTTTGCGCTGGTAGCTGGTCTCCGTTGAGACTGGCTGCTGTCAGCAAAATACGGTCTGAAGGACAATCACACGACACTTACCATCAAGTAGACTGTGTGCTCGTTTATCACTCTTACTCCTAAAAAGAAATTACTTATATACATATTTTCAAGTTTTCGTATCCTTGCAGCTATACTTTCCCGTACCGAGTGCTGTCAACTCCTGCTCCTTTGTACGGCCTGCCTCGTCAACTTAGTAAGAGAGTTGGAGTTAGAGAGAAATGAGAACGAGAACAACAAATCTGATATAGTGGAAGTGATAACTCGACATCGTACAGTCGAAAAACTACTGGAAGCTGTGAAACGTCGGGGACCGAATATCTCCGTGTTTTTGCAGGTAGGAAAATATTATAAATAAACGACAATATAATAATAACTTTTTGATGCCAACGTAGTTTTGTTGAATACTAAGAAAACGAGCTAATGGATGCTTCTATTAGCTCGTTTTCTTAGTATCCACGACTTTTTCTGCAACCAGGGCGGCGCCACTTAAAAATGAGGTCTATTATTTGACAGATTTCATAGCGGGAAAGTTAATTTTTTCGAAAAATGTAAACATTAATGTTTCTTTCTGTACTATTACTTATATTTTGTATTAATTTGATGAAAAATATATAAACCAAACTTGTGATTCATAAATTTTTTAAAGAATCAAAAAGGTGCAAAAATTAAAGAGCAAACCACTGAGCCATTATTTTGTGTGTTAATTTAATACTCTCATAATACTCTATAATTGATAAACATTTAAAACTTATGTAATCAAAAACTTCACTTCGGTGACAACTAGCGACATGTGGTGACATCTGGTGAGCGGAACATTATAAGCCCTCATTACACTATTAGCTTGCCACATATTTATATATCTATGTATACTATACTCCCGAATCGTCTCGGCTGTGATCAATCAGCATGATAATATATTCCCACGATTGTACAAAAACAATCTAATAAATAAAGGTTATAATTTTTTTTGCGCGGAACCCTAATTCTGTTTCTAAAATAAAACTAGCGTAAGTTACTCCTTATAACATCAGTTATCTGCCAGTGAGTCCCGTCAAAATCGGTGCAGATATTTCGGAGATTAGGAACAAACAGACAGATAGTCAAAAATATTTAAAATTGTTTTTTTTTTGTTATAAGTACCGCATACAGGTTGTCCCAGAAATCGACGTAAAACCGGAAACGGGTGATATGCCAAATCATGATAGTCTGGCAAACGAAAGTAGAGACTGAAAAAGCGCGGCAAATTTAAAAAAAATCTCAGCCTAGCAACCCCAAAATTTGTATGAAGTACCTGGAATAACCTGACTTGATACTTTTAGACTTGTTTTGTGTAAAACATTATTTGTATACTACTGCTTGACAGAATATGGACAGGTCCAGAAATGGGAACCTACGGTAGCTGTTGTATGTAAAGTTGTATTTATAATCAGACGTAGTCAACTGAAGTTTCGAGATGTAAAATCATGTCTACCCATTATGATCCAAACCAAAGAGACATTTCGTGAGTGGCATTTCGAAAATCAGTTTACTTTGTTGGAATAAAAATAAGACTAGGTATTATGTGATATTATCTGAATTAAAAAAAAAAAACAATATTCCATAATAATTTTGGTTTATTCACTACCATAATCGAAATCTGAGTCTAGGGTTTCCATGTGGTAAGATTCATTTGACCCATTGGAGTTACTATCTCTAACATGAATAATAAAACTTTCTAAATTATCTTCTGTTAATCTATCCCTTTCTTTATATTTATTTTCAATGTGAATTACATGATCAGTTATTTTATTCCATTCCTGTGGAGTTATGCTTTCAAAAGACTCTTTAATAAGTTTCTCTAACTCCACAGCAGGCAGGGCAATATTTTTACTAGCCACTTTAGGTTTAGCCAAACTCCATATCAGCTCAATGTCAAGTCGCAATACCTCATGGCCATTCTGCTTCAGAAGTTCATCAGCTTCATATACTGGTTCTGTTGTGTTTCGTTTTACAAGATATAGCTGCTCTGCTTTTGTGTGATATTGTTCAAATAAAATATCATTCAAAGTAAGCCATTCTCTTATATCATTTTTGTGAATTTGTGATGTAGGAGCTTTATTTACAATTATTGAATGGTAACTGGCATTATCCATAACTAATACACTTGGCTCATTTAAATAGGGTATTAGCTTTTCTCTTAGCCGTTTATAAAGTTAACGGCATTCATGTTGTGGTGGTAGTCTGCTATTTTCGATTTAGTGCTAAATACTAATAATGATTTAGGCACAGGACCTATCTCCAATCCAGCATGTACAATTATATACCTTTTCCCAGTTGAAACATTTTCAATTGCACCACTTGTAGATGAACCTTGCCAAGACTTCTTGGGCCTGTAGTTTTTATGAATACAAGATTGGCTTTCCGTCCCTACGTTTCAAAGCCAGGGTTCTTAAAAACCGATGTCTCCAGGCTGATATGTCATATCGTTCAATTAACAATGAACGCTCATTTTTATTTCGCTTAAATGTGTTCGCTGAAATATGTTTCATTACACGAATTTTTATTTTATATTCTAAGACAGTTACTTAATAATATAATAAAATCGATTATTAATATAAGTTTTTAATATTGCTACTACGTAAATTGTTAATAAAAACTGTAAAATGTATAAGCCTTTCAAGCCTTGAAGAATAGCTCCAAGAAAGGAAAAAATCTGAAATGTATAGTTTAACAATTATCACACTTGCAATGTTCATGTTCAAACAGCAAAAAAATACTAATTAACTATTGCATAATTAATTGAAAAATTGCGATAATTTTTTCCCGGTGGATTATTGTTCATTTGTTTATCTATTCAGTAAGCCACTGAACTTTTCATATCTTTATATTTCATATTTTTAAATAATTTTTAGTAATAGCGTCGTCCGAAGTGAGCGTAGCTTGCGTGGCTATCGCAAGCTACGCTCACTTCGGACGACCCGTTTTCGGGCGTATTTTTATCCCTTTGGAAAAATTATAAACATTGGTCCTACAGTGGGGACTTTTTTAAGGAAATTTCCTCGTCTTTATCTTTTTTTAGATTTGAAAATTCTAAATTAGTTTTTGAGATATTGGCAAAAAAAACTAAACCTTCTTTTTTTTAGTAAATTGTTTATAACATTAGCAATTCTCGCAAGCGGAACTTTATTTCTTTTTTTCAAAAATCATCTACATGCTATTTCGAATCGAATGACACCTGGTTCATATTTTTCCGAGACTGCTGAAAAAAGTTGACTAAACAGGTACTTGTCACACTTGGCACAGAAGCATTATTCAGAATTAAATAATAATAAAAAAAAACAAACATTTGTAATAACCGGAGTTAGACTATCACAGGGAATAGTTTTTCTCGATTTTTTTAAAATGCCTATTATTTAAAAAAAATACATAGCTATAAAAAATATTTCATTTTTTTGATAACTGTCGTGACTTGGGCTATCACCCGTTCCCGTTTCCGATTTATTATTTAGTTGACTATGATTTCTGGGACAGCCTGTATACTTTCATATGCATTTATTAAAAGCAGTTATTTATTTAATGGATTTCAAATTAGGGGACATGATCAATTTTAGTGTGAATACACGTCGTCTATATATAAGTAAATAAAAATGAAGTCTGTTTGTAATATCAAAACAGCTTTTTTTTAAATAAATGCATATGAAAGTATATACGACACTTGTAACAAAAAAAAAACAATTTTAAAATATTGTCTGTGCGTCTATCTGTCTGCTTGTTTTATCTGGCAAATCTCCGAAATGGCTGCATCGATTTTGACGGCTCCATGGCGCAGTGGCTTAGTAATGAGTTATTGCGCTGGGGGCCGCGGGTTCGAATTCCGAACGGAACAAGTATTTGTATGGCCTACAAATAATTGTTCCGGGTCCGTTTGTTTGTCCTCGTGACGTTTAAAAAAAAAGAAAATAGTTGATACGTAATTTAGGCTATTTTTATTTTAGAAAAAAAAATAGGATTCTGCGCAAATATTTAAACCTATTAAATCCAATCGTAATAAATTCCACCCGGATAAAGTCGCGGGGAACAACTTAGGCTACTTTTACTTTTTTTTTATTTATTATACAAAAATACATTCGGTTATTTCTTACACTACTTTCGCCAAACTGCAGGGCAGTTTGTTGGCGAATACATCACCCACTTACATTCTATGTACCTACTGTAATTAATAACTTCATCTTAACTTACGAGTACAACTTAAAATAGAAGAAAAAAAAATAACAAAAAAATAGAAAAATTAAATTTAAACTTAGCAGTACTATCCATATACTTAATTATATTTAAACTTACACATATTTAAACTTACACATATTTAAACTTATTAATAATTTCACATTTAACAATTAATTAAGACTACTCGTATAGTATTAACACGTATCTAGCAACCACGCTTTCAACTTCCTTTAAAATTTTTCTTTATTTTTACATTCGTCTTCAAATAATATCTCGTTAAAAATACGTGGTACTAGATATTTTCTCGTCCTCTTGCCGTAATAATTGTTAACCCTCAAATGCTCAACGTATTTCTTTCGAGAAGTAATTCTAATATTTTTGCTAAATGTCCGAACTGTTTTAAACTCTAGAGATTTAAATTGATCTATTGCAATTAAGTACTTAAGTTTTTCATGTATAGGTAATATTCTAAAATTTTTAAATAAATTATTATAGTTTCCGTCAATGTTATATTTTTCTTTTGTTTTTTTTATCAATAAACAATTGTATTAACCTAACTTGTAGCTTAAGAATTTTATCTGTATATGTTTCAAAAGTACGTCCATATGCAATTAGTCCGTAACTCAGGGTTGAATCGGCTAGTGCATAATAAAGCATTTTTAAGATTGACCTGCTAACTATATGTTTTAAGTTATTAAGCCTAGATAATATGGATCTTAATCTATCACATACAATGTTAATATGCAGTTTCCAACTAAAATTACAGTCTATTGTTAGCCCTAAATACTTGTAACTATTCACAAATTCTATGGTTGTACATTTGCATTGTTCCAATTTATTATGTAAGCACTCGTACGAATGACCAAAGATATTTATTTCTTCACTAGGTTTTCTCATATATGGAGATTGGAGAAGCATACACTTTGTCTTGGATATGTTAAGTATAATGCCGTTATCATGTGCCCATTTTAGTATACTAATGAAATCATCCTGCACCCTCTCCTCTATAACTTTAACGTCCCTGTCGGCGTACATTAGGCACGTGTCATCGGCGTACATATAGGTGGAACAATGTTTTACAACGTTATTAATGCTATTCACGTGCATGATGTACCCGACAGGTCCGAATACGGAGCCGGTTGGCACACCCAGTGTTACATCAGCTTCTTCCCCAATAATACCATTGATCATAGTGCGTAGTGTTCGGTTCTTCAAGTAATTTCGGAACCATTTGTTCATTGGACCTCTAATCCCACACTCTTGCATTGCTTCAAGAAGCATTTCGTGATCCAACGTATCGAACGCTTTTTTAAAATCAATGAACAATACAATGACATACTTTTTACTATTTAGTTCATCGTTAACATCATCGTTAAATCGTGCTAGTGCTGTAGATGTACTGTACGTTTTTCTAAACCAATCCTGTGCGTTAGATATTATATGATTTTTTTCCAGAAACATACTAATTTGCTTAACTATTATTTTTTCAACTACTTTATTTATGACTGACAATATAGCAATGGGCCTGTAATTTGAATATTCTAAATGATTACCTTGTTTAAATATTGGACGAATAATTGCATTTTTTAAGTAATTTGGATATACACCGCTTTGTACACACATATTCACAAATTTAGGAAGCAATGGACTGATCTCTTTCTTTACATACTTTAAATCTTTTACTCTTATTTCATCTACACCCGGTGATTTATTATGGCCTAATTTATCTATAATTTTTTCAATTTCGTTAGATGAAACTTCTTGGTAACGGAAAGAAACGTTACTCGGATCCACATAAGTGGTACGATCAATAAATTTACAGTCACAGTAATGTTTTATTTTATCAATTTCCTCCGTAAATGATTTAGCGAAATTTGAGCATATATTAGTCACTGTATCTGTCTTACCTAAATATTTCATAATAACCGTATCTAAATTGTTATTATTTTTTCCTAACCAACCATTGATAGTTGCCCAGATCTTCCTACATTCTCCTTTACAATTCAAAATTTCGTTTTTCCTAGTTTTGTTTTTTGCTAAATTTATTAATTTATTTGTTCTGTTTCTATGCCGCGTGTATTCTAACCTATAATTCATATTTTTGGGATTAGCCCGCCACTTCCTAAACAAATAATCTCTTCGGTCTATCATCATTTTTAATGTATGATTAATCCACGGCTGTGCTACTCGTTTATTTTTGCTTAATTTTATAGATATTGTGGACTCCTTATAAATATTTTTAAACAAAAGACGTAACCTGTCATAAAGTAATAACGGGCAGTTAAGTATTAATAAATTATTCCAATTTATCTTTTTTAATTTTTCTTTAACTAATTTATCGTTTAAAACATTCGTATAATTATCACTATCGCACTTCGTTTCGTGTGCATCGAACGCTAAATTAACTCCTACCATATAGTGATCCGACAACTTACACGTGAGCATGTGTGCGTTAGCGCGCGCACGGCTGCGCACCCACACATGATCGATACATGACGCAGTTATAACACCGGCGTACACTTCTTCTCTTGTATATTCATTGATAACGCATTGCAGTCCTCGTTCACATAACATGTTTTTATACTTTTCAACGATGCTGCTGTTTTCCATTATATTTATATTTGTGTCCCCAGTGATGATTAAATCGTGTTTATTTGGTATTTGCTCCAGTAATAATAATAATAATAATAATAATAATATTTTATTTGCATAAAACATGGTATATAATAGATTTTACAAAAACTTTTCAGATCAGCATGTTTTGCTACGGTTATTCATAGCATGCAAATTTTTTTTTTACATTAATATTTTTGGCTACAAAAATCCTTAACACTATAGAAATTACAATTATTTAGCCACTGATATAGTTTTAATTTAAATGATCTTGTATTTAATATTTTTAAGTAATTAGGTATCTTATTATATAACTGAACACACATAAATAAACAACTTTTATTATATTTTCTTATTCTAGGATTATCGTTTAGTATAAGTCTATATGGATCTCGATGACTGCGGGGATTTACATCATCTATCGTTGTAAACAACGTTTTGTGCTTCTGTACAAACATACATACTTCATAGATGTAAAGTGATGGTAGTGGTAATAAGCCAAGTTTTTTAAACACTGGTCGACACGATTCATTCGGTTTTAGCCCACATATAGCTCTAATGCATTTTTTTTTGCGCGACAAATGCTTTATTTTGATCAGTGCTGTTGCCCCACATTATAAGACCATACCGCAGTAAAGATTCTACGTATGCATGGTAGGACATGACAGCGGTTTTTATGTTTGTTATGTTTTTTATTTGTTTAAGTGCATACACGAATTTGTTTATTTTGATAGAGACATCATTTACATGTGGTTTCCAATTTATATCGTCATCTATAATTAAACCTAAAAATTTTGTATGACTAGCTGCTTTTATTTTTGGAATGTTAAGTTTAAGATTATGTTTATTATTAGTGCATTTATTAAATTGTATATATAAAGATTTGTCTAAATTAATTTTTAAATTATGTATGTCAACCCAATTTATTAAAGTATCTATTGTATTATTCATGTCAGCTTCGTGGTCACTCATATTATTAATTTTTTTATTGGAAGTCACGATTATGGAAATGTCATCAGCAAATAGAATACATTTATGCTTCGTCATATTGATAATGTCATTTAAGTACAATAAAAACAGAATTGGACCGAGAACACTTCCCTGTGGAACGCCATATTTATTGTGTCGGTATTCGGACGAGTACGTTATTATGTCCCCATTTACATCTGCTTTAGTAACAATAACACATTGTTCCCTATTATAAAGATATGATGTAATCCATTGAAGTGGTGGTCCTCTAATTCCAATTTTTTCCAATTTCTGTAACAATAGGTCATGTGAAACTAGGTCAAAGGCTTTAGATAGGTCAAAAAATAGTCCCGTGGTAAAATTATTATTATTGATATTTGAAAGTACTATTTTTATGAGTGAAAAAATTGCCAAAGTTGTAGATTTATCTTTTTGAAAGCCGTACTGTTCGTTTGATATAATGTGATATTTATTACAAAATTCAAGAAGTATTTTATACATGCATTTTTCATATATTTTTGATATAACGGATATTAGGGTTATAGGTCGATAATTATTAATATCACATTTCTCTCCTTTTTTAAACAGTGGCTTAACTATTGATAGTTTTAATGCATCTGGAAAGATTCCACAAGAAAATGAAAAATTAATTAAATATGTCAAGATTTCAATTAATTCGATTATACATTTTTTAATTATTAATAATAAGTAATAGTCTTAATTCTTCTATAAAAGATAGTTTATTGGTATTAGGTGGTCTATATAATGCTATGATGTGAATGTCTCTTGTTGATGTTTTTATTAAGCAATGTAATATTTCTGTATCATGCCCTCGTATATAATTACATTTTTCTATATTTAATATATTTTTACTATATATTAATAATCCCCCACCTCGACATTTTTCTCTAGTATATTCAAACATCTCATATCCACCTATTTGGTATAACGTTATTTCTTCTCGTTTAACATTGATTTCACGTAATATTATAATATCTATCTTGTATTCACAGCTTTTTAATAGTATTAACAATTCATTATAGTTCTTTCTTAATGATCTAATATTTAAATGTATTATTCGCAATTCGTTAACTGGTTTCTTCATATACATACTCCATTTATCTATGTCCGTAAATTTTATGTATTCTATATTATTTTCAAAACAAGATAATATATCGTTGAATTTTATTTAAGTTAAAAAAATCGCGTAGTGTAGTCTCACACAATATTAAATATTTGTGTTGTTGTTATTCCTCGCTACAGGCTTTATTTAGCTTTTGTACGTCTGCATCTGATCGTATATTTATAATTTTTGCGTTATCCTCCTTTTTAACCAAAATTCGAAGGTTCTGCACCCATATATATTTATATTTTCCCTTTAATAGTGTTTTTGTATTCCAAAACAACTGCTTCATCTGTTTAGTTAAACATTCATTTATATATACACGTTTACTGCTATTATTTTGCAGTATATCATTGTTACACAATTGATGTCTTTTTCGTGTAATCCATTCGTTTCTGTTTATCTTCGCACGGAACGTCACGATAATAGGTCGCGGGTGATTCTCATTTTGTTTTTCACGACCTACCCTCCGCGCCTCTTCAATATGATCAGGATTTAAATTTAATTTTTTAGCAATTAAACGCACAATCTGATTTGTATCTTCGTCTTTTTTATTCTCTAATCCTATTATTTCTATATTCTTTTCAACTTCTTTTAGTTCCATATAAGCTACCCTTTCCTCTAGCGCTTCATTTTTTGCAGATAAACATTTTTATTTTCTATATCTTTTATATTTTTTTCAGCGATTTCCTTGAATTGCAACATGTTTTGATACTGTTCCGCATAAAAATCGACAGCCTCAGTTAATTCTTGTATTTTATTTTTCATCTGATAAATTATTTCTAATTTATTGTTAACTTCTGTTAATACGGATTCTGCCGTAGCTCTACTGACATCTTGTATATTTATCTTGGACTGTTGCATTCTCGGACTGTTATCAGTCTTGAAACACCCATCGCAAAGCTCATTTCTCTGTCGGAACTCTTTAATATTTAGGCACTTTTTATGAAAAACTCCTACACAATAGCCTTTGCATTTAATAACTTCGTCCTTTGCTAATGATAAGAATAGCTTACACTTTTTACACTGAACCATCTTATCACAACTTAGCTCAAATACAGTAGGTACGCGTATATAATCAAATCAACAGCACACGTCCGTACGCGGGGTATGCGCACAGCGAATAAATATAAAATAATTACAACAAAGTAACTGTTTGAGGCGTATTTAAAAAATAGTTTTGTACTAGGAGCAGACGGCAGCGCTGCTGGCGTCGTTGAGCCGCGCGGCGCGCTGCGTGCTGGCGCTGTCGCGGCTGCGCGGCGCGGGCGCGGCGCTGCTGTGCTTCGCGCGCGCCGCGCCGCCCGCGCTCGCGCCGCGCCCCGCCGAGCTGCGTGCGCACGCGCGCCTGCACTGCCACGCCGCGGACGCACTCGCCAGGTAATGTTACATAATGTACCAGGAGCAGACGTGCTGTGCCTCGCGCGCGCCGCGCCCCGCCGAGCTGCGTGCGCACGCGCGCCTGCACTGCCACGCCGCGGACGCACTCGCCAGGTAATGTTACATAATGTACCAGGAGCAGACGTGCTGTGCCTCGCGCGCGCCGCGCCCCGCCGAGCTGCGTGCGCACGCGCGCCTGCACTGCCACGCCGCGGACGCACTCGCCAGGTAATGTTACATAATGTACCAGGAGCAGACGTGCTGTGCCTCGCGCGCGCCGCGCCCCGCCGAGCTGCGTGCGCACGCGCGCCTGCACTGCCACGCCGCGGACGCACTCGCCAGGTAATGTTACATAATGTACCAGGAGCAGACGTGCTGTGCCTCGCGCGCGCCGCGCCGCCCGCGCTCGCGCCGCGCCCCGCCGAGCTGCGTGCGCACGCGCGCCTGCACTGCCACGCCGCGGACGCACTCGCCAGGTAATGTTACATAATGTACCAGGAGCAGACGTGCTGTGCCTCGCGCGCGCCGCGCCCCGCCGAGCTGCGTGCGCACGCGCGCCTGCACTGCCACGCCGCGGACGCACTCGCCAGGTAATGTTACATAATGTACCAGGAGCAGACGTGCTGTGCCTCGCGCGCGCCGCGCCGCCCGCGCTCGCGCCGCGCCCCGCCGAGCTGCGTGCGCACGCGCGCCTGCACTGCCACGCCGCGGACGCACTCGCCAGGTAATGTTACATAATGTACCAGGAGCAGACGTGCTGTGCCTCGCGCGCGCCGCGCCCCGCCGAGCTGCGTGCGCACGCGCGCCTGCACTGCCACGCCGCGGACGCACTCGCCAGGTAATGTTACATAATGTACCAGGAGCAGACGTGCTGTGCCTCGCGCGCGCCGCGCCCCGCCGAGCTGCGTGCGCACGCGCGCCTGCACTGCCACGCCGCGGACGCACTCGCCAGGTAATGTTACATAATGTACCAGGAGCAGACGTGCTGTGCCTCGCGCGCGCCGCGCCCCGCCGAGCTGCGTGCGCACGCGCGCCTGCACTGCCACGCCGCGGACGCACTCGCCAGGTAATGTTACATAATGTACCAGGAGCAGACGTGCTGTGCCTCGCGCGCGCCGCGCCGCCCGCGCTCGCGCCGCGCCCCGCCGAGCTGCGTGCGCACGCGCGCCTGCACTGCCACGCCGCGGACGCACTCGCCAGGTAATGTTACATAATGTACCAGGAGCAGACGTGCTGTGCCTCGCGCGCGCCGCGCCCCGCCGAGCTGCGTGCGCACGCGCGCCTGCACTGCCACGCCGCGGACGCACTCGCCAGGTAATGTTACATAATGTACCAGGAGCAGACGTGCTGTGCCTCGCGCGCGCCGCGCCCCGCCGAGCTGCGTGCGCACGCGCGCCTGCACTGCCACGCCGCGGACGCACTCGCCAGGTAATGTTACATAATGTACCAGGAGCAGACGTGCTGTGCCTCGCGCGCGCCGCGCCCCGCCGAGCTGCGTGCGCACGCGCGCCTGCACTGCCACGCCGCGGACGCACTCGCCAGGTAATGTTACATAATGTACCAGGAGCAGACGTGCTGTGCCTCGCGCGCGCCGCGCCCCGCCGAGCTGCGTGCGCACGCGCGCCTGCACTGCCACGCCGCGGACGCACTCGCCAGGTAATGTTACATAATGTACCAGGAGCAGACGTGCTGTGCCTCGCGCGCGCCGCGCCCCGCCGAGCTGCGTGCGCACGCGCGCCTGCACTGCCACGCCGCGGACGCACTCGCCAGGTAATGTTACATATTATAGCACGTTTAGATTATCAAACGAATAACAGCAAGCAAGCTAACAGCATAGCAAAGTGGCGAAGCAATCAGCTTTGTAGCGGTTTCTAACGGTTGCCGTTGAGCAATCAGTTTCAAAATAGGAGGTTCAGATGCCTGGGTGATCAGTAATCGATTGCTGAAAACAGAATTTGAAAATTCGAAACCGTTCTCGAGACAGACGGACAGTCGGACAGACATCGTAAATCAATAAGTGACTTCGCAAGCTTCGCCACTTAATAAGTATATAAACATCGATACGCCTACCCAAACATTCTTTTGACCCATGCTAAAAAACCGACATCGAGTGGAGAACAGGCGAACACTATAGCCGAGTAGCGAACACACCCGATCAAGTCGTTTACATGTTCGTACTCGTGCCTACTCGGCTATGCTCGGCGAGTATCTAAATTCTAAACGTTCCATTTCACATAAGCGTAATTAGTTTTTTGTGATAACAATTACATTACCGGTATAGTTTCCATATCGATATGTAAAGAAATCGTGGTGTGGCTGTATGGTGGACACGGCTATGTGTTTTACGTGAACACGTGTCCGTAACGAAACGAGCTCAAAATGTCAAAATTTTTTGTCCTTTTTTTATCGAATATAATTACATTTTAGATGTAGATGATAAATATGTAGCTGGCACACCAAACTATATCCCTCGATTTTGTTATCATCAGTTTTCCGAATTGCCTCCCACTATGAAAGCAAATTTAAAGACGTATTCACGTCAAAACTGTTTAGATATCGATATGAAACCCAATTTGATTACCGTTTTTGCTGTTATAGTTGCCACCGATCAACTAAAGTTCGAATGTTTAAAATACAACTCATTTCTAAGAAATCAGTACGTGCTATTATTTACGCAAATGCACCTCGTAAAGTTTAAGTTTTTGTTAAACACTTGACATTAGATTAGACTTTACCTTCGCTTCATCTCGTTTTCACAACGGGCAGGGTAATTAATTGGACAGAGAGGCGATTTCGTTGCTTCGTCGCGTAACGGAATGGATATGACTACGTTATGAGAAGTTACGTTAGCTTCGTTGCGTTTGGATTCACTTCGATTGTGCATTACGGTACATTACTATATGATATATTATGTGTGAACCGTTTTTAGTTACATTATGATATATATCAGACTCTCGTGCCTTTTACATATTTATTTATAGTAGAATCTCAAAAAATCGAATTTCAAGGAAAATGCAAAAAAATCGGAGTTAGGTAACTTGTTTTCGACTTAAAAATAATTTCGAGATTTTTTCCCAAACATATAAACATGCGGTACACAAATGTGTTACTTACAAACTTTAATGTATGTATTCATTCATTGCGCGTGTTCAAAGTAAACAATATAACAGAAGGAACAAACATTTCCTTTTGGATTTTATTGCTATGAGTTCGTGGAATTTCAAGTAAGACGCCATTATAATTTACCAATTTCGTCTTACTGAGGATTACAATTTAACGAGGTTTGAGTTATCGAGATGCCACTGTATTTTATTTTACTATTTAATGCACCAACGTTGCAAGAAAAGGCGAGCACAACTCCGTCGCGGACAAAAGCAAAGCTATCTGCTTTGCTTTTAACGCAATAGAAACTTTTATTTTTCAATTCCAACACAATCGGTAGTAAAAAGTAAGGGCTAAGTAAAAAGCCCAGGCTTCCGAAATTATTTATGGCACGTTTAAATTATCGGACGAACAACTCGCCGAGTTATACGTGAACGAGTACGACGCGTTTACATATTCGTCTATATTCATTCAACGTAGAACTTTTATAAATTAATGACGTGCGTCTCGTATGCTACGATTTTGTCTACTTAATTTTTATAGTCTCACAAATATTTTAAATGAAAAAAGAAGAAAATACGGCAGCAGTGGAAATAGCTGGTATTAAGTACAATATTTAAAAGTAGTTTCGCTCTTGTTAAATCCTTAAATTCAGCTAAAACGATTACATTATATATACTTATATTTTTTCATGATTTGTTAAAGAAATAAATTAGAGAAAATTATAACAGATTATGATAGTTCACTGGTCAACTAAATAATGACTAGTATGTAAACACCGATACGAATAGGTACACACAAAATTCCTTTGACTCGTACTGAAATAACCGACATCGAGTTTCTTTGAAGCCGGTTTATACTTTTTAATAAAATTTAATTTTGTGAACCTTTTGAGGCGATTATCTGTCACAAGCAACAAGAATATCGTATTAAAATCTTTATACCCACTTTTTCATTTTTCTACACTTAAACATTAAAGATGATTTTAAACGTCCATAATATAAAAGCATAACATTGTCGATTCTAATAGTTGAAAAACGCGTGTGATTTTATATTAATAATGAAATTAATTTAATTTAATCTGCAGGTTATAATAATAATAATAATGTCCTCCAGACCGAATTTCGGTCACGGCGGCCAGTCTCAACGGAGACTAGCCATCGGCGCAGGACAGGATTATAGTGCCCAAGTGTACATGCGCAAGTACAGGTGCACTCTCTATTCCCTCATTCTCATATTCCGATGGGACGGTCAACCGACACGACCGGAGAGAGATCAGGCGCAGGACCAACGGCTTTACGTGCTTTCCGAGGCACGGGGGTGAGGCACCGCCAACTTCCTTACTCCGGGCAGTTACTGAGAATTTCTTGATGGAAAAGCTCAATAAGTGATTTTTTGGCCCGACCCGGGATTCGAACCCGGGACCTCGTGATCAGCAGTCGCTCTACTACAACCACTACACCAACGAGCCAGTCAATCTGCAGGTTAAGGTGTACTTTTTTTTTTTTATAGGATAGGGGGCAAACGAGCATGCGGCTCACCTGATGGTAAGTGACTACCGCCGCCCATGAACAACTGCAACACCAGGGGAATCGCAGATGCGTTGCCGGCCTTTTAAAAAGGAGTACGCTCTTTTCTTGAAGGTCCCTAAGTCGTATCGGTCCGGAAAAATCGCTGATGGTAATCGATTCCACAAGGAGGTCGTGCGAGGAAGAAAACATCTTCTAAATCGCACAGTGGTGGACCGCCAATCATCCAGATGGTGTGGATGGTATCGGGAGTTCTGCCGCGATGTGCGTTCGTGAAATTTGGCGGCTGGGATTAATCCGAACAATTCCTCAGAGCACTCCCCATGGTAGATGCGAAAGAAAATGCAAAGGGATGCAACATCTCTTCGCAGTGCCAATGAATCGAGCCGATCGGAAAGGGCTCGGTCGTCGACAATTCGAGCCGCTCTGCGTTGGATGCGGTCAAGTGGAAGGAGCTGGCACTGGGGAGCCCCTGCCCAGAGATGGGAACAGTATTCCATGTGAGGCCGAACTTGCGCCTTGTAAAGTAGCAGGCGGTGTGCCGGCATGAAATACTGTCCCGCTCTGCTGAGCACGCCAAGCTTTTTAGAGGCCAATTTGGCCTTCCCTTCCAAGTGACCACGAAATTGCACGTCACTCGATATGTCGACTCCGAGGATACCGATAATGGCTGAGGCAAGAAGGGGAGTGCCTTGAAACTGAGGAGATACGACAAAGGGGTTCTTTTTAGCGGTAAACGCGCAAACTTGTGTCTTCTGAGGATTAAATTGGACTAGATTTAGTCGCCCCCAATCCGAGACTTTGTTCAGCAAAGACTCGACTTCAGACACAAGTTTGTTCCGGTACTCAGCGACGTTTTCCCGAGAAATATTGGCACGGCCGGTGTATAGAGCATCACCAGTGCTGTCATCCGCATAGCAATGAATGTTACCAGTTAGCAACATATCATTGATATGCAGAAGAAACAGCGTTGGTGATAGCACACAGCCTTGTGGAACACCAGCGTTAATAGGCTTGTAGTCAGAGCATGCACCGTCTACAACGACCTTGATGCTCCGATCTGCAAGGAAGCTGGTGATCCAATTGCACAATTTCTCGGGAAGCCCATAGGAAGGGAGCTTCGAAAGAAGCGCTTTGTGCCAAACCCGATCGAAGGCCTTCGCAATGTCCAGACTAACGGCCAACGCCTCCCCCTTGGACTCTACTGCCTCCGCCCATCTATGGGTCAGGTAGACCAGAAGATCACCAGCTGATCGACCCCGACGAAAACCGTATTGGCGGTCACTAATCAGCTGGTGATCCTCAAGGTACCGGATGAGCTGGCAGTTAATAATGGATTCCATTATTTTGGAGAACAAGGGGGTGATCGCGATAGGCCTATAGTTGGATGGGTCTGAGCGGTCGCCTTTTTTAGGGATCGGGTGGACAAAAGCTGTCTTCCATGAATTCGGGACTACGCCTTGGGAGTAGGAGTACCGGAAAAGACGCGTTAGGACCGGTGCCAACTTCGGAGCACACGTTCTCAGCACAATTGGGGGGATTCCGTCAGGCCCACTCGACTTCTGGATGTCCAGGGAGAGCAGTGCTTTGCGAACCGAGCGCTGTGAGAACAGCACATCCGGCATGGAGCACTCACACCGCGGGATGGTCGGCGGTGTTTTCCCCCCGTCATCAAGAGTCGAGTTGGACGCAAAAAGGCAGCCTAAAAGGTCGGCTTTGTCTTTTGCGTCATGGGCCAGTGAGCCATCCTCCCTGTGCAGAGATGGTAGTGATGGCTTACAGAAATTCCCTTGGACAGCCTTGGCGAGAGACCAGAATGCACGGGTTCCCGAAGGAAGGCGAACTAGTTTCTCGCCAATTCTGCCTATGTGCTCTGACTTTGCCTTGGCAATAACTCTTTTGAAGGACCTGGAGGCGAAGTTATACTTCTTTTTAAGTGTGCTGGTATTTACATCCCGAGTCGCCGAAGCCGCAGCCCAGGCTTGATAACACTCCTGCTTACTGCGTAATGCAGTCTTACAGGAGCGACCAAACCAAGGCTGAGATCTGCCTCCGATGGGTACCACAGATGATGGAATAAATAGTTCCATTCCCTGTAGCACCACATCAGTGACAGAGTCAGCAACAGCGCTGGGATCATCCGGCGAGAAGCAAACCCGCCCCCATAGGTAGGATGCAAAGAAGGACCGCATTCCGTCCCAATCCGCCGACCTGTAATGCCAAACACGGCGGCAACCTGCAGAACGCAACCGCGAAGGGAGCGTGAGTGGCACCACACTCCGGATCAGACAATGGTCCGAAGAGCCGAGAGGGGCATCGACGGAAACCTGATATCCGTCCGGATGAGAGGTCAGCAGAAGGTCCAACAGGGAAGGTGTATGATCCTCCACATCTGGAATCCGCGTAGGCGAAGTAACCAGTTGTGTCAGACCATATGCCAAGGCAAAGTCATAAACAGATCTCCCCGCATGATCGGTTAGACGTGAACCGAGCCATTCGGCATGGTGGGCGTTAAAATCGCCAAGGATCACGATCTCTGCGGATGGGACCTGTTGTAGCAAGGAATCTGTAGCTATTTGGACGTGGTCGATGAGTCGGTCTGTTTCGGCATTACCGCTATGGGACCTATAGAGGCACCCGTAGACGCGCGGATGGTCGTCGCTGTCTACGCGTAGCCAAAGGATGGACAGGTCCGAACCTTCAAGACTGCCGAGGCGTCGAGAACAGACGTCCTCTCTGACATACACGCAAACTCCAGCCCGAGGCACAAAGGAATGCTCCAATTTGTACCCCGGGTAGGAGAGATACGAAATATCAGCCGGAGAGGAAACCTGCGTCTCGGTCAGAAAGAGCAAGGCCGGCTTCGCCGTCTCGAGATGGTAGTGGACGGCGTTTAGGTTAGAGTGAAGTCCCCTGATGTTGGAGAAATTCACGGATAGCGTGGCAGGGGTCGCCTTGGTGTTCTTGCTCAGTTTGCCCCAGCAGTTATGCTTTTGAGCGGAATTTTGCCCCCCCCCCCCCCCCCAGAATACGCGGGGCAGCCTGAGCACCCACGCTCAGGATCGGAATAACATGGTCGTAGATGCTCAGCGAGGGATTCTCCAGGGGTGCTGGTACGCTCCTGGGGTAGTTCTTCGTGTAATTCCGCTACCATGTTGATGGGGGGGGGGGGGGAATTGGGCCTCCGGCCACCTGCACTCACCAGACGAAACGCAGAAGCAAAGCTTCTACTTCACGCCGGTATTCTGTGAGGTCGTGGTACCAACCCGGCTCGAGCCGGCCCTTACATGCAACAGCAAAAAACTGCTGCATGGCTCTACCACCGTTACTACAATGAAGATTAAATAAAAATTGCTTGTAAATTATTACAACTGTGTGCTTATAAATTTCCACTACAGCCTATAAAAGTCCACTGCTAAACATAGTCCTCCCCCATAGATTGCCTCATGGGGAGGATTTTGCTGATTTTTTCTTATACCTCCACTTCTTCTACTTACACAACAAATATTGTTAAAATTAAAAATACATAATAAAACCCGTAAAGTTAGTTTTATTCAGTACTTATTATTTGTTTGTTACAGGCTGACAGTGGTACCAGAAGTTGCCCAACAAATCGTTCAGTTGGAAGGCGTTCCTCATCTTATCCGTTTGGTTAGGATGCAACGAACGCGCCCTCCCGTGGAAGTGAACCCGGACCAAACACTAATACACTGTCTAAAAGCCCTTAGAAACATATACAAACATCATCCAGAGGCTTTTGATGACCAGAAAGATGTTGACGAAATGATCAGACCACACTTAATGGAGTCCCTAATGCTTTTTTCTGCTAAACAAGAAAGCTATGTTTAAATATTGAGAAATATTATTTTAATATACTTATTTAAACAGGGTATAAAATCAAATCAATTAATTAAATTATTGTATGGAGTCAGAATAAATTACATATATTTTCAGGACTATGTAATTTTAACTTAAATAAATCACGATCTAGTGTCAAAACATTCATATTTTTTATGTGTAACTTAATTTCTAAAATTGATTTCAATCTTTAAACTGTTCAGTTTTTAGTTCGATAACTATATAAGTTAAAAAAGCTAAATTCAATCCGTTTAAGTATAATGTAATCGAACAAAAATATTCAAAGCTGTGCAACCATCTTAAATTACATTGTGACCAAGACAAATGAAGCAATCGTTTCAGGCTTTTAAACAAAAAAAAAATACATTCCTTTATTTTATGTGATGACATAAAAATTTTGTTTTACTAAGCACTTTATTTTAAATTAAACTTCATTATAGACTCCCTTCTAAGAGACGATATTTATGGTTAGTATTTAAGGTTGTATACATACATACGTAAGGTATCAGAGGCCATACACAAATATTATTGCTAGTCCTCATACTCAACTCCGATTTAGATTTATTGATATTTTAATGTGTTTTTAAATAAAATGGATATATTAAATATTTGAAAACACATTTATATTTTAATGTGTTTTTAATTAAAGTTGTTTTTTAAAACAGAAATATGTTTTAAAATTATTTATGTGTTGGTAGAAATCAGATTAAGATTTCGCACTTTATACAAACACGCCCTAATATTAGCACAGATACTTTTTATGTTTGAATATTTCAACATGTTACAATGTTTTTACCACGTCTGAATAAGCTAGTTTTAAATAGAAGATCATAGTCATAAAGATATAAGGATTTGGTGCTTTTGCTACTTTGTACAGGTTATAGTAACACTATGCCTCAAATCTTACTTAACATTTGTTACCCGGCCACAGTTTACTTGCTCTCAAGTCAAATCTGATTAAATTTATGCCATCTTGGCACCATTATGATATTTTCCTACATTTACAACGCAGTACTTGATAGGGTAATAAATTTTCTATATTTTTCTTTTAAACTTGAAACAGGCATGGTATTGCCATATAAAATATTTTTTAAATCTCCCAAAAAAAGAAACACCGTCTGATAATACACCATATATTTCATTTGTAAATAATTTATTTTATTTATATTTTGGGCTCGCCACAACTTTACTTATTTATTAATATGTGCGCAAAAATAATACCGGGACCTAAATACTTCTTAAATTTGTTTTACACACAGGATAGTGTTTCTGTTTACACATTATGTTTAAATTTTAAATGTATAACGAATAATTACATCGAAACCACCTCCACTTAACTTTACAATCATAGACTTAGACAATGTATACTTAATACAGATAAATTTTGTATAGAAATTATAGAACATGAATTATTGTTTTGTACATATACAAATAAAGAATTATACTCTTTATATAAATGCAGTTTTATTGCTACATTTATTCATGGACGTAACGCTACGCTGGAAATGTGTAAAGTACCATATCCAATAAATTTGTCATACGCGAGATACACCACAGATCAGATGTTAAAAACAAGAGGAAGCGCAGTGCGGCCAAGAGGGGGGGGGGGGGATTACTGCTGAATGGATTAACCCTCTTAATATGCGTAAATATGCCGTATTATGCAATATGTTTATGAATTATGGAAGTATTCGTAGTACACTAATACAATTAAAAATATTTTTAAGTTACTAATTGTCTTTCGATACTTTAATAACGATTGAACCTCGTTGTTCTTGTATTATTACGTAATGTAGCTGTTCGAGTTGCAGGCATAAGTAGCAGCACGAAAGTCTAGCGGTGACCGATATTGCGCATAAGTAGAAAATAAGTATCATGGGGTAGTAAGCGCGTCGCGGTGCGGGCTTGCGTCGTTCGCAGGCGCTGATTGGCTTTCCTGTAGCATTCGTGCAATTCAATTTGTACGTAATACCAATGCGCAGCTATCCCCTCCACTTTTCGATCAGCGCTAGACTTACGTGCCACAATTTGTAATGTACGACAAAGCCAACTTGATGTGAATGTGAAGTTATTATCGACATCTAGCGTCGAGTAACAGAATTTGTACGTTAATTTTCAAATCGATCGTTATGGAGAACGAAACGTTTCTTAAACATCGGAATTGGACATAAAACAAGTCCGTTAAAGGAGAGGCCAATATTCAGTAGTGGACTTCAACAGGCTGATACAGAAGAAGAAAACAGCGAAGGAAACCTGCGAGCATAGGAAATTGAAAATAATTCCAAACAGTGTAACCCTTCTCCACTATTATCCTCACAGATATAAAATTAGGATTGCTGATGGAAATGGATGGAATGGAAAGGATTTTTTAAAAAAGCACTTAGCAGATTCAAACCAACATCCTTAAATTTTGTAGTATGTATCCTTAACCATTAGGCTACAGTTACTTATATTAAAGAAACGCCGATTTCTTCATAATAGTTCCATATCGGAGTGTAATGTAATAAAGGCTGAAGGTTTTTTTAAACAATGAACTGCATTAGGAATCACAATTGATAAATGCTTGTTTTTCAGTCATTGAACTATGGATTTATATTTAGATATTATGAATTTTTTCGAGTGACGACCTGATAAGAGAGACTAGGGACTGCGCCTTGTAGCACTCCTTGGGGAAGGCCTATGTTCAGACAGACATCTGAAGCCTGACTTCTGAAGGGCTGTATGTTTCGATTTTTTGTCACTTTTAAGCATAATTAATAAATGTATAAAATAATTTTCCATAATGTTAGGAAATAATGTAAGGAATGTTATAAATATAACCAAGATGCAGATTTTATTCAAAAAGTATAATTTATATATTTAATATGTAAAAATTTAATTAAAATTACACTTAACTAAGCTCATTAAAATATTATAAGTTGTCATTATCCATATGATTGTTTTACATTTTTTGAATGCACTATATCAACAGTTGTTTCATGACATTGCCTTAAGTCCAAATCATATACTCCCAGGCAAAATTTGTTTTCGGGTGGCTTAAAAAAATCCAGTCCTCTTCCAATTTTTATTATCCATCCAGAACTCAATCTGTAATTAAAAGGATAAAACAACATAATAAACAAAAGATTAATAAGCTGGAGTAGAAATAGCTAGCCATAGAGCTAATAGAACAGAGTACAAATGGGAAATGAGGTTTTTAAGTGGCAGCCTTGTACTGGCAACCACAGTATAGTATGTGTACCTGCTAGATGAAATAACAACTTGTTAAGGCGTGAAGAAAATAAATGTCTATAGTCTTACTGTGCTTGTGCACTACATAGTAAAATTGACATCTGGAGATTACTGGGTGTTAAGTTAAAGTAATATGGTTAAAGTTGGTTTCAGGTGTTCATAAGCTATATTAGCCGCTTACCATCAGGTGGCCTTTAAGTTAATTTGTCAATTCTATTTTATAAAAAAACAACAGTCTTTACTGTCAAATATAGCAAATCTACCACCTAGGCAAAAGGAAAAGGACTCTTTTCTGCCCCCAAGAGTATAGAAAGCCATCCAAATTACAGGTTTTGAGGCATTCCATCTTAAGTCTCTGTGTTCTTCAGGACTGCAGTAGCTGCTTACTTTTTAGGTGGAATATAAGTCATAATCATAAGACGTACACTATTTTGTGTGCTAGAGCACTATCTGTAAATTTTATATCAGTTTTTCAATTTGACATTCAGGACTGAGATTGTCAGTCTTAATTAAAAAATTCTTAAACCTGTATTTTGCTATTATATCTAGACGCTATTTTTATCTAGTCCCTTTTTAGCCAATTCTAAAAAAAATTTAATGTATATTACATGATTTATTCACAAATTGTGAACTGATTTTGATGACTCATTTCTGACTCTTTTAATTAAATAGCCAATTTCAATTATTAATAATATTCATTTTCCACACAGTAATATGTTTACCATGTAATGTGTGATATTTTAAATTCCTTTTAGTTTTTTAGTTACTTATTACTTTTTTCCAACTAAACTTGACACTATTCAAACAGTTCGCAGCAATGAACCAATGGGATGATATTACGGACAGTAAAATTACCATGTAGTGAACAAGCCCCCTAAGGATTGTTTTTTGCTGCAGCTATAGAAAAATGTCAGCAGTGGATTTCAGTTTGCAGATCAACTGCATGGACAGTGATATTATGGTACATTGTGGTTAAATTATGCTGCCACTACAGTGCAAATACCACCATATGCATCATTACATTTCTTCCAGTAGTTGTCATGACAGGAACAGAATTTTCACAGATTATAGTACATAAAAAATACCAACTTTATTTTTTTGCAATAGATACAGTCTGATGTACAGCTTGTATATCGATTTAAGGCTCTTTATGCAGAGCTTCTGTGTGGGGACACAACAAAAAAATATTAACCAAGACATTTAATTACTAATAAAAAAAAACGCCATTCCAGAGGTGTGCAGCTTGGGTAGCAAACAATAAGGAAAGAAGCTATCAGTTGTATTATACGAGAATTAAAATGCAAATAATCCAAATAGAGCTTCTCTTCTCCATATAGTCCGGTATATCTATAATAAATCTCTTCTCTTCCTGCCATCTGTATGCTTAGATCTTTTAAACTACACAACAGATTTTGATGCAGTTTTTTAGAATGATTAAAGATGAAAGTTTATATGTATAATACAATACATACATATTATAATAATTCTTCTGTCCGTGTGTATGTGACTGAACTCCTCTTAATCAGCTGGACCAATTTTGATGAAATTTTATGTGTGTGTGTTAAGTTGATTAGAGAATGGTTTAGATTCACAATTTGCCCCGGTAGGTGGTGTTGTAGTCGTGATTCAGAAATCAACCGTGCGAAGCCGGGGCGAATTGCTATTATGAATGAAATACAAAAAAAACTGCCCAAAGTATCCTGACATATAATTCTTGTTGAATAGGAAGTCATTTTACATAAAGGCTGAATGCAGCGACATAATCAAACTTGTGAATAAAAAATTTAAATAGATAGGTAATGATAAGTCAGTCCAACTTGTGGAGGGGGGCTTCACTTATAACAGGAAAACGCACATCAGCACAGCAATCATAATTAACAATGGGCATAATAAGAAAGTGCACCAGAATCATCTGTAGTATGCTTGTAATAATTCTTAACATTAAAGTGAATTAAAATTTACATAATAAATTGCAAATACTTACATAATTTGCCTATCGTGCAGAGTTTCTGAATATTTTACTATTAACTGCACTTTATATTTAACTAAATCATTTCTTAAATTAGCAAACCAGTTCCCTTGGTCACCTTCTGATTTGTTATCTCTAGAAGTAACTAGCTCTATGTGCCTCAGATTACTACAGGATCTCACTAACAGTTCACAGAGTCTTAGAAAATTTTGTCCCTGTAAATATACAAATATCAAAACAGTTAAATAATTTCATTTTAATTTAGTTTAGAGTGGTCTTGGAATTTATAAGGCCTTCTTGTTAGTAGGTGGATACAAAAATGTTATCTCACTCTCTGCAATTGTGGAGTAAAAAAGAATCTTGAAACAAACAATGTTACTAAACCTCCGAAAACAATGATCGGAATTGACATAAACATAAAAATTAATTGATATAGGGCCCATGAGATGATATAGGGTAGCAACTTTTCTTACACAGCCACTACACATCCATTAATAAGTTTAATTGGCCTAAAGTAATATTTCATTTCAATCTGCTACTGGTGCTTTGTTTTCAAACTGCTCACTTTTGGCTTGTTTCCCATAAGAGGCCAATATTTGAGCCAAATTATTGGTTAAGTACTGGATATGCTGTGACTGCCTACATACCTAATTCTCCAATACTTCATCCAATAATTTCTAGCCTGTATGTTTGCACTAATGCATGGATATACTAATTCATGTTATACTTGTCAGTTATTTTACATCTGACATAAACAAGATAATTACCACTTACTACCGAGGTTATAAGTACTCTTGTCATGTAAATCTCATTGTACTACAAACCTGATGAAAGCTTCTGATATAAGGATCTTCTACTACAACATATTGAACATCTTCGTCTAGAAATCTACCAAAAAGTGTTTTGTAGCTGTGTCCAGTGGAATTATTTTCTATAAGCACTTGTTCATGGAACTGACCAGTTTCCTTTTGATGTAACACCAACTTTTTAATAGTTTCCGCTCTATTCATATACTCTTCCACCTTCTTTCTTAGGTATATCTTTATTTTATCATCACATTCTCCTGTTTTTACAATAATCGTCAAATCAATGAATAACAACAATGTAAACATGAATAACAAAACGTATTGTTTACATACCAACCTTTCATTTTATCTACCAATATTTGTAAACCTTCTTGGTAACATACAAGTGCTTCCGTATAACGCTTTTTAGAGTCCAAATCTACTCCTCGCTTGAGAATGTTTATAGCAGCACTTTCAATGTTCATTTTAATATTTCGAATATTTTTTTAACATATTATCCAAAGATGTTTTATTTGATAGGTATTATCAGGTATTATGACATATTTCAATTTTTCAATAGTTTTTTTATAACGGGCTCTACGGCTCTGGGTTCCAGCGTTCTAGCGTATATATAAAGGTACTCTGTGGTTCTAGCCCTTCTGAGCCTGAAGTTCAATGTATCCTTCATAGTACACTGCTTCACAATATGTTTGATGCATTACATTGTGCAGCCCTTGGGAAATTTTGACAGAAACTTGAGCCAGCGCACAGGTGACAGTTGGCGATGGTATCTCAAGGTGCCTAAGCAGACATACACCTTATCTTGAGAATCACATTACCATCACAGCACTTGTTTCACCGTTTCCACTAATAGTTTACATGCGCTGACACTTAATACACAAAATCGCACCACTTTTACATATCAAAATTTACTTCAAGCCATTATTTAAATAGGACCAGCAATCTGCCACCGCGGAGCAAGTGAACTATTAGTGGAAACGGTGCCACAAGTGTTCATATTGTGAAACAGTGTACTATAAAGGATTATTATCACTTGATACCGAGATAAATAAAGATATAGCTTAAAGGACAAGCATCCAAGCTTTTCTCTCAATCTCTCAAAGCCCGCGGTATTCAAAATTTCTTACGTTTTTTGCAATTCGCAGGTCAGTGTCAGGTTGTATGTATGTTTAACATAATATGATTCGCGACCATAGCGAGTATGTATTACAGAATTATTATCATTATAATCATCAATACATCCCTCTAGGTTCGTATAATCCCCATAGACTTAGTAAATACTGACGTATAGAGCTACATAGTGTACAAGGGAGAAGAAAATTCCTTATGGCAAAAATGCAAGATAGAAAAGGATACCAAATCTCATGACTCTGTAACCGATTTTGCATGATAGATCGGCACAATTCGGCACGCAAGAAATAGCTATTAGATGTTTTGTAATTTTTAGAGTGTAATAGTGGTTATTTCTATTAAGTAACTTTTTTGCAAAATGATTACTTAATCTGCGAGTGACTGTGGTGTTAATAATAGAAATAATCATGATAATTGCACTTTTCACAGGTAAATTCTCAAGACGTCGTCAATGTTATGACGCGTTTATTTTTGGTTAAAATTTGTGTTATATACTGTGTAAAATATAAAATGTTTTCAATTATTATTGTTAATTTTGATATTTTACAACGAAAAAAGTCACGTTGTTGATAATTTGCATGAATTTGATAAATACATTTTAATACAAAATATTTTATATGTACGCTAGGGATTGACTCAACTGATATAGTTGAAATTATAAATCAATGTCGAAAATCTTGAATGTTTATAATAAATCGATAGACTTAGGCACACAAAAAGAAAATAAATCCTCAGTCTGCGTTCTAAAATGTGATTTTATTTTGCCTTTTGTCAAACATATTAGGTCCGGATTCTATAATTAGCAAATATGGTTAAGGTTAATTGGACGGGTTGGTTGGAATCCAAAGAAGAACTCAACAATTTGCAGCAAACATTTCCTTGAGAAGTATACAATAAAAATTAGAATAAAAACAATTTTATTAAAAGGAACCATTTCTACATTATTTGTACCAGGGAGTTGTTACAGGCTTCAAAAATTTAACTTCATAAACTTATTAAATGTTTGTTATTTTCCAGGGACAGATGAAAGAAAGAGAGCTAAACAAGTTTAACTGATTCCTACAAGTTTCCTTACTTTAATTATTAAGTTTAAATGCATAATTATTTAAGTTGAATGTTAAAATTAATTTTTATAATGTATTTAATTATTATTTTTTTTATATTATTATTATTATAATAATAGTCATGTGAAAAATAAAGCAGCAATGTAGTCCGTGTCCCCGTTTTTTATTTCAACAGCAAAACATTTTATAAAGTATAAATAGATTTTTACTTAATTAAGTCTCTACCTATTTATAGTTGATTAACGTTATGTTAAAAAAATCCGGGGAAAATGTTCATGACAGAAAAGTTTTCTCTAAAGGTCACACATAATTCGAAAATACAACTCTCCGATCTGATTCTTGGAGGAAATTGTTTAAGTTTATCGGTAGACTCACCTCTTCAAAGATTATTGGGAATTTGTACATTTTAAATTAAAATACAACAAAAGGCAGGTAGGTGCAGCTTATTCCCGGGAACATGTTATTTGAATATTTTTTAGTTATTTTAGAACTATCAAGGTAAAAATTCAGTAAATGTTTGATATTTTTCAGTTTCACATACTAAACCAATTTTTTCAATTTTTTACCGCTTCTTTAACAATCATTTTTCGATAGTCCTTGTAAGTAAAATGCACATCACTGGTTATCGCTCCCAATGACATATCCAAATTGGTTACAGATTTTCGGGCTGTCAGGTCGTCTATACACCAGTATATTCTAAGTCTATGATAATCTCATTGTATGGCTATTTCCAGAAAAACTCATTCAAAGGGATTATATGAACTTAGAAGTTGGTGATTTTAATAATAATAATTCTGTAAACACGTACTCGTTACGGCCGCGAATCATATTTTGTTAAACGTACAACCTGAACCTCACTTGCAAATTCCAAAAAACGTAAGAAAATTTGAATTTCCCGGGCCACCCTGGCGCTTTCAACATAATTAAAAACACCTTTACCATCGAACATCGAAGCTTTAAAGTAATTACATACATACCATAGACTTAGAATATACTGGCGTATAGACGACCTGACAGCCCGAAAACCTATGCCGAAAACGCGTGACTAATTTTTTTTTCTTACTGTGTGCGTTAGCTAGTGATGTACATTTTACTTTCAAGGACTATCGAAAAATTATTATTAAGAAAGCGATAAAAAGGTTTAAAATAATTGTTTAGTGCACGAAATTGATTAACCTCAAAAATTAACAGAATTTTTACCATGATAATTCTAAAATAAATAAAAAATATTCATATAACATGTTCCGGGAATAAGCTGAACCTACTTGCCTTTTGTTGGATTTTAATTCTAATGTATAAAATCCCAGGTGACTGTACCGATAAACTTAAAACAAAACTCCCTAAGAATCAGATAGGAAAGTAGTATTTTCGAGTTTCGAGCAATGATCTTTGGAGAAAAATATTTACTGCCATGGACAGTTTCCCCGAAATTTCTTTTTAATATATTGTTAATATGAATAGGTAGATACTTAAATAAGTATACACCTATTTATATTTTATATATTTCATTTCAAAATGTTTTAACGGGGAAATAAAAAACGGGGATATGGTGTACATAATCGCTGCTTTATTTTTCATATAAGTATCACTTTTGATAATAACAAACATTTAATAATTAAATACATTATAGAAGTTTATTTTAACATTCGACTTAAATATGAATGTAAACTTAATATTATGTTATGTAAGGGAACTTGTAGGATTCAGTTAAATTAGATTGCTCTGTTTAAAGGCCAATTTGTTTATGAGGCTTCATCATGCTTAACGTTTATATGCTTTCATCTGTCCCTGAAAAGTATAAAGTAATAATAAACTTATTATCATTTTAGATGCATGGATTTTAAAAACATAATGATCTTAACAGGGTAAAGTGCACCAAGTGTCTGAGGATACATAACATGCACTCTCTATTCTTTCAATCTTGGTATGTTAAGAAAATGGTCACTCATTCATGAACTGACCGCGGTAAGTGCAACTTAATTACGCAGATCTATTGATCCGCGCAACTATTACTTAACCATGATTCCCTCTTCTCTGCAAATTACTGTAGGCGATGAACCACGTTATTTACGCCATAGGCACAATGTCGTCGGCCATCAAGCATGAATCAGGCATCGAGCGTTGTGAGTATTAAATACTATCGCGTTTCATGCGCGGGCGTCTAGATGCGCTTCAGGAGCATTACTAAATATTTATACGTAACTACGCTTAAAGTTTTATCATTGTGACTTGGGAATATAATCCGAACCTCCGCTAAACCCCTTCGAGAAAATAGCGTGATGCTATGAATATTGTACTAGTTTGACCCTGAGGCTGTGCGGTTGCTTAAGTAAGGTTACATCTATTTTGAGGGATAAATAGATACTTAGTTGGGTTCATAATGGCTTAAAGATGATAATCTCAAGATTTTTTATCTTTAATGTACTACAGTTTTATAATGTATAAAAATCTGTCTTTTTTATCAAAAGTTTTAAAAGTTTTTTTTTCAGTCTTATCATAACAATATTATACTTACTGGTACAAATAATATAGAGAAATGACTCCTTTTAATAAAATTGTTTTTATTCTACTTTTTCTGTTATATAGTGCCTATGATAGGGAATTATTAGCAATATTTTTAGCCATTAGATGTTTCCGTAAGTTATTTGAGGGACACCGTTAGTTATTTTTACAGACCATAAGCCGTTGATTCATACTTTTAAGAAATTATATAGCAACAAGGAAACACCTAGACGAACAAGGCAGCCGTTATTTATCAGCGAGATCTCAACAGACATTCGATATGTAGAAGGCAAGTATAATATTATCTCGACGGACGATATCGAGTCAGCTTAGCTGACTCGATATCGTCCGTCGAGATAATTTCCTGTCCCACAGTACTCGATTACCACGAACTTGCACAGGCACAGAAACACGACAAGTCCATTGGATAATGTTGCGAAATTTCAACGAAACATGCCAGACCCTATTTACCACAGAACTTTAGAAAAATAGCATTTGACGCGGTACACAATTTGAGCCACCCGAGTATAGGTACTACAAGAAAGTTAGTTTGTCAAAAATTATTTTGGCCAGAGATGAATAAAGATATTAATTCAGGGCAAAGAGGTGTATTCAATGTCAAAAATCTAAAGTTAATAGGCTTAATGTGGTAGAGCCATGCTGCAGCTATATTAGTAGCATAGTTGTAGCACGAATGGGTCGGCTCGACCGGGGAAGGACCACGCTCTCACAGAAAACCAGCGTAAAATAGCAGCTTAACGCTGCTG